CCCCAAAACCCCAAAACCCCAAAACCCCATTTTCAAAAAAATTTAGAATTTAAATATTTTTCATAATGGCTTCTTTGTAAGTGGAGGTTAGGCAATTGGATTTCGGGGAAATTCAGAAATCTATGAAGGAAATACAGCTTTTAGGGCACTTTGAGGGGTTTACTGATCTGGCGGTGTTTCACTTGCTGAGATTTTAGTAGAGGGATATGTGGTTAATGATTTGTGTAGAGGATTTAGTTGACATGGGTCGACAAGTTTAGTGCAAGGATTAGTGAAGTACTTTCTCTCTATTGCTGAGATTATGAGGAGCATGGATATACTTAAAATTTCATTATCACAAGAAGCTGGATTTCATCCTAGAAGTATATTCGACTATATCAGTAATCCTGAGTATATGAATGAAAGGTATATTGATCCAAATTCTCTTCTGCAATTCCTGAGGAAAAATGATTTTATCAAAAACAATATTGAACAATGTATTGAATTTGTCAAGATACACAGTGATTCAAGATGTTCTTCTCTTCTGTATTGCGATTTTGTCAAGTTCATATCTCCAAGATTAGACGGCTTATTCTTAGAGAGTGTGATTGATGCGGGGAGTCAGGGGAAAATCCCAACAGATAAAATTCAGTTTCTTACTGCCTCTCTTGTAAGCAGGGAGCTTGAATTTTCCTCTGAAATTGAGAAACACAAACTAAAGCTTTATTACAAATAAGTATTTCAATATAAAGAAGGCCTTTGAGCATCTGGATCCCAGGAACTGTGGATTTGTAGATCTTGTGTCTTTGAAGAGATTTATGAGAAAATAATGGCTACAACCTTACAGATGAAGAAATTTCTTATATAATAGAGACCATCTGAGGAACCCATGAATGTAATGTAGTCATGAGTAAGTCTTAGTTTTACAATTATTTAGACTACCTAGCCTTTGTTGACCACTTTCAAAAGAATATTCCAACAGATAAGTTGAAGAATGAAGATCATAAAACTAGTCAAAAATCAAAGAGTCCTTCTTTAAGAAGAAAGATTTTATCTCCCTTTAGCCACAAGGGAGTTGGGAGATCAAAATATGAGTTATCAGATCTAAACACCAGTCAGTTCTCTTTTAATGAGAAGACGCCTCAAGCAAAGGTGTTTTATCCTTCGCCAAAAGTGAGAGATCACCAAAGTTCGGTGATAACTTCTTACAATTTGAATTCTGACCTCGAGGAGGATTTCAACAGGTGTCAGAATATAGATTTTCATAGAAGTGAAGGCTCACCTATGTTCACGAATAAGTTAAAAGACCCAATGCGTAGTAGGAACCTGGAAACTATGGATACTCTGAATCATCATCTTTCGACTAAATCGAGGCGGCTAGACTTCTCTCAAAAGACTTGTCAGGACTTGAAGCCATGTCTTAAGAAGAAAAAGGCTGCTAAATTACTAGAAATACCCTCTTATAGGGATAATAAATGCAGTTATTTGAGGAAAACAGCAAGGGAGCCGATAGTATCTCCCTTGAATGTTTCCGAAGTAGAGTCTGAATATCCTTGTTCTCCTTCAGCAGCCTCTTCGCTAGATCCCTGCTTTAAAGAATACATTAATTTCTTAAGGAAGGTCTTGAAAATGGAGAAGAGAGTCGAAAAATGAAAGATTGATCTAGCAATGAAACCAGATTATACAAATGAAGCTGGATTCGCTCTTTTTGAGTTCGAAAATGGTGGATTTGTGTACCATAATGACATCACTCAAGTCGCCAAAGAGCTAGGGATTAGTTTTGAACCTGAAGCTGTTGAAATATTCGTTTATAGACATGACAAAGATAAGGATGGAAGGCTGAACTTTTATGAATTCTGTGATGCCTTTAGCCCTTTTAGACAGGAATATGCAATCCTGCTTTCTGAAAGAACTCCTTTGAATCTTGAAAAGATCCGTAAGAAAGGAATAAAAGCTTTCAATCAGGAAACAAGGTACAATCTCCTCGAGCTGTTAGAACTTCAATTCAAAGTAGAACTAGAAATCGATACACTTAAGAAAAACTCAAACCTTAACCAAGACAAAAGTCCTCTCACAATTTTCAGACATTTCGATTCAAGTGGCAGAGGGAGAATCTCCAAGAAAAATCTCCGTATGGGTTTTCAGAAGGCCGGGTACTGACTGACCACCCAAGAAGCATGCCTCCTATTCAACATTTTGAAATAATTATGGGGTTTTGGGGTTTTGGGGTTTTGGGG